GGTTATGATGGTTATTGCAAAGTGTTACCAACTCACTCCTACGTAGATTATTTTCTACCAGTTGGGGTGTGATAAGGAACAGCCTGAACAGTTCATCAGTATAAAAGGGCAACATGGAGGCACACAGGAGGAATGAACAAAAACATGCATGCACCTAATCACTGCTGAGGTATGGCAGAAATATTTATAAAGGATATAGAGAACCCACTCTCCAAGGAGAAGAAGATGATAACTCCATGCAGAAAGACAGCAGGCTGGGATTCGAACCCAGGACCTTCTAGATGGAAAACAGAAGTCTGACCAACTGTTCCACCATACTGCCCTCAGCTGTTAAAAATTAAATAAAATATGTTTTATCCTTGTGTTTTTGTGCAAAATGATTAGCCATACTTAAACACATACACATCTGTGTACTTGATTTTTACACACAACTGCTATATTTGTGTGAACGTGTGTTGTAGTAGCTGTTAACAGTTAAGAGTCTATAAATTCACACTCATGTTTTCATCACCCATTTGCAATAAAGGACCAGTTCATTTATTTATTTAAGCTGTAACTTATAACAGTACCCTGGAATTATTCATGAACAAGTCCAAACCAGAGCTCAATTTGTTCCATATGTCAACCAAGCACAAAAGAAAAACATCTTGTGAGCATGTTTAACTTTGAAACGTTACCCTGTGATCAACTTCCAGTCCTTGCAATGTATTGTGAAGGCTGCCACCGCAGATGTAAAGTGAATGGTGAGAAGTGATCCCAGAGTGATCGTTTTTTAAATCACTCTACTCGTTACTTTCCTAAAATGTTTGCTTTCGCCTTTCACTGAAGCTGAACTTATAGCTGTTGTTAGCTTTTCCTGTAAATGGTTGGCTATGTATTTATTTTATTTATTTTTGCAGAGCTACAAAGCTGAAGTCAGTGTTTCTTTAAATGTCTCTTTATCCAAAGAAGCTTTTGGTGTTATTAATATCACTGACACTAAAATGAGCTAAAAATACATCTAACGCTTCTTATTCCATGACTGATAACATCCTTTTGAAAATACAAGTCTTGACCTGAGACCTAAAAGTATTAATATCTTTTGAACCGTGTCACTTTTTTTTTTACATTAGAGCCACAAATTTTAAGATGTTTTAATAATCATATATGTGACAGACCAACACAGAGTAGTATATTATAGTCAAGAGGAAGAAAAAGTGATTCTTTAAGGTTTGTCTCCTTCAGCTGTGAGACAGTTACTGAACAGGGGTTGTCATAAACGGCCACAGATTCTCAGATTGACATCTAATTAATTTTCACACATCAATACGCTTCAGACAAACCACTTCTTTAAACATCTTGCCAGGCCCAGTTTTCTTTCCTAAACTTTTATTAATTTATTCATGCTCTGTATTTATCTCCACCTGTGTTTTTAGTTTAATGAACTTCCTGCTAAAAAAAGAAGCGCTACGTAGAGCATGATGCTTCCATTGCTGTGCTTTTTAATCCAGGGTTTCTGCCATATGAATTTGATTGCCACAGAAAAATAAAAGCCACCACACCTTCAGCATGAATTACAAATATTCAAAAACAATAATAGGTATATAATATGGGATGCTGCTTATTTGTGCAGTTATTCGAATCATAAAGTTCAAAAGAAATTTAAATATCATAACACTTTGAAATTGCTTACATTTTTTCTTTTGCCATTTGGTAATTTTTCAGACCTCTCCAGCAACTGTATTTAGCTGACTAGAAACAAATCTCGTGGCTTTTCACTGTATTTTAGCAAGTAGTTTCTACTCTTACCTTCCTTTGATAGCAAGAAGAGCTGCTGTAAGTCTACCCTACTTCCCTAAGGTTTGTCTCACAGGCAGCTGTCTTGTCCTGAAAGTGCTGCATGCAGTCGGAGCAAAGAGTTATGAGTGTGTCATTATACTAATGTATACTGAATGTGAAACTTTGCTGTAAAGTTACACTAATAGAAACAAACAAACAAACAAAAAAATTTAATTAATGGCAACTTATACCTATTGAGATTCTTTTTGAATTACATGAATCTTCACTCCTATAAAATACAGTCAGACAACCAAGTTGAAACCTTTAATTAATGCAAGCGCTGTTGCCTGAAATCCTCCAGTTCTAACATTAGAGGGGTTCCTTTTAGATTGGGGGTCCTGTTGCTTTAAATGTCTCCTTGGAGCAAATTCTTTTTCCTGCTCTTTCTTTTGTTCACTCCTCTGTGGAAGTTTGCATCCTTTCTCTGGCCACACAGGCTGCATAACAAGTAAAAACCACAGTTAATCCCTAATGTTTTGATTTTTATATATCTCCCTCTTAAACCAATGTTAAAATTTAATTTTTAAACTGCTTGCAATTTTCTCCTTTGTGTTAGCTGCATTTGAAATTACTTTATTTTCTAGACTTGTGCAAAAACATCTGCACTTTTGTGTCAGTCTTCCCTTATTCTTTTAATTGATTCTTTCAGTCATTTATTGAAGGAAGAAAAGTGCAGCTTTCATCGCTTTCATGGCCGGCCTGTCCATGCTGGGTTCAGAGATGTCCCCCTGGGCCATTGTTCAATCATTACAACATAACAGGATCGGTAAGAGTCAGAAATGGGGCCTTTTATTATATATTTGCTACAAATCACTCACAGAAAGCAGATTGTAGCAGTTTCCCCTTAAAACTTATCTCCCTTTTTTTTTTTTTTTTAACAATGAAATGTTTCTGGATGCAAGCCATTTCAGTTCAGCATTGAAACCTGGGACCCAAATGACTAAAATAAATTCTTGCCTAAGAGTGACCTCTAGTGGACAGAGTTGGGCCTTTTTAGTGACCCTATTAGTTTTTTTTAATCGCTGTTCTGGTTAATAATAAGGTTAATTATCTTATTGGTCAGCAAATTATTTAAAAACCCTTAATTCCAAATGGTTTTAGAGAAACCCAAATAAATTTCCTATAACCCTGAAGATGTTCTTAAGGTGATAGAGGGCTGTCTTTGTTACTGTTTTTATGAACCTCTGAAGGTTTAACAGGTCTGAAATAGACAGTGGAGTCTGCGCCATGGATGTCAGTCTGTGATGGAGTACTGACTGCGGCTGTACAGCCTGATCCTGGACCCACAGGTTCTGTTGCAGATGCTGCAGGTTATAGTTTAGCTATGGTTATAAACACTTTATTAACCACATACTAACAGTTTAAAAACTGCTTATTAACACTTTGTCAACACTAAAACTAAACAGTTTATTAGCAGTTGCATAACAGCTTATAAGCAGTTCTTTAACTAATGTTATTTTATTAATAGATTAGCTTGATTCTAGGAAAAGTTGAGCTACAGCCTTTAAACAGTTTAGTAACCAATTACCAACGGTTCAGCTATAAACAATTTGGAAACAGCTTATAAATAGCTTTCATGTTCAAACATCTTTCTCATCTTGAGATTTGTTTTGCTCTTTAGTTTATTTAGTGGCTTTTTGGTTTACCTTTCATGATCTAATAGATTTACTTAGTAAAATTTGAAGAATTTGTTAAATCCCCCACACACAAATTTTCAGCTTACTATGTGCTGTGAGAATGCTGCATTAACTCTCATGAACTTCCATTCGTTTTAAACCCTGAGACCACCTCTGAGACATTACCTGACCCTGACCAGAACGCAGTTCATAAAAAATAAGGTGGGGATCAGGAAAATATTCTGTTTGCAACAAAAGCTCCCCACTTCACCGGCAAAACACAATAATGGTTTTTACTAGCAGTGCAAATGGAATCACACACACAAACACACATTCATGTGTAAAGCATAAAAAGAGAACACGTCAAAAATTAACAAAAGTTTCATTTTATTGAACCGTTATTGGTATAAAATATAGAATTTAGTACAAAAATCAGTAAACAGGTTTTTTCCTTGAAAAATCTTAGACTTTGGCAGCTTAGTTAATACTAAAGCAAAAAAGTTTAATAATACTGTAGTGTTTAAAAAAAAAAAAAAAAAAAGGTAAGTTTTATGTTTAGGTGCATAAAGGAAAAGAAAATTGTAATAGGTGGCCCGTATTTCAGCTAAGAGAATGATAAACAAGCCTTTAAAACAATGTATACAATGCTATCAGCATTCTGTCAGTAACGATGGCGGATCTATGAAAATAAGAATACACGTATTTGTTAGGTTTATAGTTTGGTTATAAACAAGAAAAAACAGCAGCTACCTGGCAGAAACATTTAAGGCTGTGGACGTGGAGAGGAAAGCCTCTGGTGGTTCAAATCGAGGATCAGATGAAACAGAAAAACGTTTTTAGTATAGGACATTTTTTTTCCGGTGGCAGCCAAGGTTTGTCTGACTGTCTCAATAGAAAGGAGCTGCAGTAATGAGGATGGAAATGCATTGTCAATGTCATAGGTCAGAAGAAAATGTCAGAGTGGTTTAGCCTCTTTGAATGTTCCACATATAAACCCTTCTATCAGATGGGAAACAGCAGCAGAGAACCAAAGCAGGTTAAAATCACCAGAAACTGAAGCAAAAATTTCCACCAGATAGTTAAAGTGAGAAAATGAAAGATAAAAAAAAAAAAAAATTACTGGTTTGAAGGATCCTGAGTTCTGCTGCTACAAGATCTGCATCATGGATTTACGGTCAGCATCATGTCGAGCAATGTACCAGATAGTTTAGCATTTAACTTCTACAATCCTTCCAAAAATGTCTTTAAATTGTTGTTCCATCATGTTTAGAGGAAACTAAATCAATTAGAGCTCCTTCAGGCTGTTTTTTCGTACCCCTTTTTTTCTTGCAAGCATATGTACAAGAATTTGAATACAGAAGCAGGCATTCAAAATGGCCCTTACCAGTCAAACGCCAGCCGAATGGAAGCCCAGTTGCCTGAAACTCCTGGGCGTGCATATTTTTTACTCTGACTCCACCCTTTCACTGAATTACAGGGTCTGACCAGGAGATGATGCTTCTCTTTAGATCTTAATGTCCACAAATCATGACAGAAACAATATTTTCCTACAGAGATTGATGTTTAAAAAATAATTTTTTTTAAGGGACAAGACAAGGGCCTGCCAAGAGCCCAGCAAGGAAAGTGGTGGTATTTTAAATGGCTACTACTGTATAAGTTGGTTTGATGGGCTGTAGCATTAGCCATGTTAGCAGTGAGCTAAATTTACCATTAATTCCTAATTTTTTACACAATAGGTAAAAGAAAATGTACACAAGCAGCAACGTTTAACTAGCTGCTTGCAGCCTATGATTGGTGGAAATTGGCCGTTTTAATGAAATAGAAATGGACGTGGTGCTAATTAATTTGAATTGATGTAAATCGAGCAGAACCATAATCTCACTTTGAGGAGAGTTCACTTTTGTGGGCTTTTCTGGTTTGAACAAAGTGTCCACTTACAAAAAAACAAAAAAAAACAACAACACTCATTTAGAAAAAAAAGTAAATCCAGTTTGCGGCTGATGGCTGATTTCATATCTGCATTAAAGATTTAAAGTAACTCTAAACCCAATCCGAGCTGCTAAAAGATACTACTAATAAAGTGAGTGAATATCGTAAATATCTTTGGTTAATTCTTAATGTTTACCTACTGCATTATATTCAGTAACTTTAATCCCTTTAATATTGACAGGCACTGGTTTATGCAGAGACAGAGAAGGTACCATGGAAGCCATAAGGCATGTTTACAGGCACGTTGGCCCGACCCAGCTCCTCAAAGGTTCTCGCATCCAGAACCAGGAGAAAGGTTCCTTTATCCTGCAGAGAACATGAAAAAGAAACAAAACAGGCATGTCAAGAACGGCCAAAGCAAAGTTCTTTGGAGTTTACTTTAGTTTATATTTTAGTGCATAGTTGACAATAACCTTTTGGTCACATTTGATTAAGAATTTAATTCAAAAGCTTCTCACATCTTGAGAAATTGTGAAATACCATCCATGGTGGGCAAGTTATATTGGGCCAAAAATAACTCCTGTTTTCTTCTATTAACATTTTCTAGTTGGTATCTAATAAGGTGCTGAAATAGGAAAATTCAATTCCATCCCTTTTTTTTTTTTTTTTTTAAGATGTGTGCTTTGGAAATAAAGAAATTCTCTTCTTTTTCAAGTCACTCTTAATTCATATGAAAAATATCATTCAGGGTTTTCCAAGGCTAAGGTAAGTTTATTAAAGTAGTCTGTAAGGAAGAAATTAATTTAGAAAAGCAGAAACTTCATAATTGAAATAAATATTTAGGGACACAAATACTAAGTTTGATCTTTGTTTTCTGAAATGTTGTGTTTATTGAGTAAACATGAACAATAAATGACATTTTTTCCTTTCTAACGTAAGTCATGGTGTGATTCACAATATATGATTCTGTCAAAAAATATTTACCAGTCCCCTTCTCTTACTGTTCAAGTAAAGTATAAATAGTAGAAATAGGTGTTTGAGTATAAAATTGTGAGGTAAGTAAAATGATCTGCATATGGAAAAAGAAGTTTGCACTACGAACGAAAAATATTCTTTTAATTTAGTTGCAGGATATATCATCTTATCTGACAGGCTAAAATGTTAAATCTGTTGGCAGATACTTTGAGTTAGCCAATCAAACTAAGAGCGAGTAAAATTATATTCAGAAAAATCAATTTAGTTTTAGATCAGTTTTTTTGCAGGGTTAAATCCAATGTTAAATTCTTGAACACACCTTGGGCAGATGTTGCTGTTGTAATTACATAAGTACATTTTATTTATTTAGCAAGTTTCACAGATGAAAACCACAAAGCCCTCGATGTTAAATATAACCTTCAGTTATCTAAAAATTTGTTAATTAAAAAAAAACATGCAATTAAAAACTTAGACATACATATATTTTTCTTAGCACAAACAAGATATTGTTGTTTATAGTATTTAAAAAAAAGACTTCATTTAAGTACAAATGAGGCCGAATGAGGAGAGATGTACCTGTGAGGGTGTGAGAACCACAGACAGGATGACTCCATCGTCCTCCTCTACTGCATCAGGCGACGGCACAAAAACCGGCTCTGATGGGTAGAAGCCCTTCTGGTTCCAGGCCTGCAATCATCCATCATTCACACATCAAACCTCACTAATTCAAATCTCCAGCATGTTTTATGAAAACCAGCTTTCCTGGTTTTGCAAAGTTTTGCAAAGTTAAAGTTAAGGTTCAAAAGAGTTTTATGCCTGTTGCTGGTGAATATTCTTAGTCATCCAGTTCATAGTCATTCCGAAAAAGTAAAAAAAAAAAAAAATAATTTCAATTAAAAATGTCAGAATTTCAGAATTAGTGTTGAGTTCCAGGCTTTATAGAGTAGCCCAAACAAAGCCTTGTTTTGGTTTAGAAAACGTGGAAATTGAACCGGAAGAACAGGTCCGCCCCTTAGTAACGGGGAGTTGTTGAGATCTTTGTTTGCCTGCAATACCTGATACTGGTCTATGCCTCTAAAGTTATTTAATATTTAGTTTGCTGAGTTACTTTTAAAAATAAATGTACTTTTTGAGGTAGTTGTATTTTACCATATTCCTACTTAATTAATAATCTCAAAAATAAAAGTATTGCTATTCTCACTCAAGTTTATTTTCTGCTTGCTATTTGTAAATCAGAGGAATATGCAGTGAACAGATGCATATGCAGTGAATACATGTCAGATTAAATAATACTACTTATACTTCAGCCATAGTATCTAGTTGTTACTTTATTGTATGTCTCGTATAATGTCCGTTGGTTGTGCTGTACTTTTTACATCTCTTTGCAGGCGATTAAGCAGACTGAAAATGTTTTATCATTGTCTCCCTTTTATCTTCTCTTTCTTTCATCTTTTCCCCTTTTTTTCTGTTTTTCCTTTCCTGTTTTACTTACATTGCAGTGTCCATATAATCTGTAAAACTCCCTGCATAATTATAATAAAGCAATTTATATGCATAAAACAAGCGGAACACTGTGGCGATAGCCGTACTGCTCCACTTGTGAAAGCAAAATCTGTTGGGCTGTTTTTGGCATCAAGACAATTATTCTTATTGCCACATTGCCAGACAGGACACTGTTAATAAAAAAATTTAAATAAAATAAATAAATAAAAGTAGTATTAACTACTAAAATTAAAACAACTTAGTTGCAGTTTTTATTGGTGTTACACCAATCAAAACCCTTCTTTAAACTGCTGCCTAGCATTTTTGATTTTTTTCTGCTATTCTGAGTTTTAGTGTTCGATAATGAGCTCCTAGTCTTTAAAATTAAGAGGCGATGCTGTGGCTAAAATCTTATACTTTAAGCTACAGTTTAATCCTCTTAATTTTTCGTTCCTTTGTTTTTCACTCAATTAATATTCAATATGCAAATGTTCCTTTTGACTTGCAAACATATTCATTTATTTCTCTGCCAATGTCCGTTTATTTGGCCATCTCTATTTTTAAACAATCCACGATGACTTAAGCACATTCAGCAAAGTAAAAACATAATTGCCCTTTCTGCAACACTGGGTTCAAACCCACCCTTCTCTTCCTGATATACTCACAATACAAATTAAAATGCACCGCCTTGTGGGGATAAACACAAAGAAACCTGGAAATGATTCCACAAACCTTAAGTGTCTTGTCCTTTAGGTCCACCTTGAGCAGGGAGTCTCCCACCATGTGTCTGAAGCCACAGCCATAGAAATAACGATATGGTTTGGTGTTAAATCTGCTGTAGTTGATTTGAGGGAACTCCAGGCCACCGTACTGGTATAGGTCATCTCCATGGAGATCCTCATGTTGGCAGAACACCTGTGGACAAAAACAGGATCATCAGACTTTTGTTAGATCCACTCATTTAGAGGAACGTTGAGTCATCAAATTCCATAAACAGAAAAGTTAATTTTATGAATACCTGTATATACTAGTTTTTGGCCCCGATACCATACTGGCTGATACCGATACCATACCAATACCTGTTTGAAATTGATATGTGTGTATATATATATATATATATATATATATATATATATATATATATATATATATATATATATATATATATATATATATATAAAGAACTGCATACAACTTGGATGTAAAATAATTGCCATCATGGCTTTGTCAAGCTGCTGTCTACCTTTGTGAAGCAGGAAATAGACTAATACAAAGTAATTCCAGTAGAACCTTTTATTGCCTACCTGGAATGGGTGACAATATTTGAATAAACTTTTGGCTCTCAAAATGGCATCGGTGCCCTATTTGTTGCTACTAACCAATGCCGATACAACCATTTTAGTGCTGGATCGGGGCCTCGTCCTATACTGGTATCGGTATCGGTGCAACACTAGTATATACAAATATAATGGAGAGCCTATGAGGTTGTTGTTGGCCTGCAAATTAACCCGAATCTGGCCCATGCCTCTGTAATGGGGAATTTTTAGGGTGGTTATCTGCCTGGCTTACAGCAGAGATCTTCTGACCACCTGCATGGCGATGCGTTTGAGATGAAAGAGGCAAGGCATCAACTCTAACACCATTACAAAGGGGTGGACCTGTTTTCGGTTAAATTTTCATGTTTTCTAAGGCTTAACAGAGCTTTTGTTAGGCTACTCTATAAAGCCTGGAACTCAACACTACTCCAGACATTTTGAATTGAGAAAGCTTTCTGGATGGGAAGCGAAAGGTCTTCAAACTTGGAAAACAAAGTCCAGTGGTTTTTAAAATGTTTTTTTGGAATGACCATGACCTGGATGACTGAGAATCTTCACCAGCATAGAAATCTCACTCGACACAGGATTTTTTTTCCTCTTCCAGCACAAACTAAAGATGGTTTGTTTGTTGACTAAAATACCCTACAGCTTGGAAAGTCACCAGGGCTAAGAAAATATCGAATTGAGTTAAGCTTGTTTGCTTAACTGTTATCACCTAGAGCCTCCTATTAAGTTTGTTTACTGCTACCTTCTCTAACATAGAAATTATTTATAGATCGGTGCTTCTATGTTTCTTTTGTGTATCTGCTTCTGTCTCCTTGAACTCCCAGCTGGCCTCAGCATAAGGAAACTCACACTGAGCCTGGTTCTGCTGGAGGTTTCTTCCTGTTAAAAATGAGTTTTTTCTCTCTACTGTCGCTGCATGCATGCTTGGTGTGAGGGATTGCTGTCGAGTCAACAACACAATGCAAGGTAATATCTATCGGCTCTACGTGCTCATCTAGTAGGAGTGAATGCTGCAAAATCAATTACTGGATGCAATCGGCTGGTTTTCCTTTGACAGAAAACCTTAAACTAATCATACATTGTTACAAAACCTGTCAGTGGAATTAATTACATTTTGAGGCACTTATTTCAAAATGTAGCTGCATTTTATTACCTTCGGACATTTGAATGCAATCCATTATTTCATAATACAGTGTTAAAACTGGTAAATAAGAGTGTCCCTATTTAATAACAGAGATTAAGATTTTATGAATCACCAGTTAATAATGGATTTTTTTTTCAACAAGACCAAATGTGACATACAGTGAGGAAAATAAGTATATGAACACCCTGCTACTTCTGAAATTGTCATCGTAGGTTCATGTCCATTGTGAGAGACAAACTTTAGCGAAACCCAAAAATTCGTTGTTGGGTTTAGGTGTGGAGACTGGCTAGGCAACACCAGAACCTTGATATGCTTCTTACAGAGCCACTCTCTGGTTATCCTGGCTGTGTGCTTCATTTCGGGGAGGGGTGGCCTCAGGGCCGGCGATTGCTACAGGCGAGCTAGGCAATTGCCTAGGGCGACAAATGTGTTGGGGGCGCCCTCTAGCGTCGCCCTTAGGCTCACTTCCCATTAATCATAGAGCGAATTAAACATTATGAAGCGTCCGTCAGTTTGACTTAACCTTACGTATATATAAATAGCAAAATATGAACAAATAAATATACCACCGTTTTTTTATTTATTTTTTCACATTTAAGAGAAAATCGGAAAAAATTCTGATCACTTTTCAAGCGCCCTCCAACCCGGAAGTCGTGACGTCAATCACTGCAGCATGTCCACCAATGTTTTGGAATGAAATTGTAAGCAAACGTACTTGCTTAACTTTGCTCGCGGTCGGGCTCGTCTTCATCATCCACTCAGAGTACCGCTGGTAAGCGCGCACACAGACTTTGTAGCTTGTCCGGTCAGTTAAAAATATTAATTGTGAAATCCGTGTTGTAATCGGAAGCATACAAGCTAGTTAGCTTGAAAAGTAAATAAAGTTTCAGACGTGCTGCGTGATGATGTGTTCAGATTGGCTCAGTAAAACGACAATTAGGTTATCATGATGCGTTCAAGTGTAACGTAAAGAAAACGGGACATTTTGTTTTTGGCGAGAAACATGAGTAATACAGTTGTATATTGCTCTATATATAATTAAACTACTGATGCCAACATTTATTAAAAATTACATTTAATTTAAAATACAATTATTTATTTGTTAAATATTTTCCTAATCACTAAAAACATGATGAAAAGTGACAGTAGACAATACATTAACCAACAATTGTGAAAATATATTCTAGTTAGTTTTATGTCATTTCGAAGTGGCCTATTACATTAGCCATGTTTATTGAAGGCTAGAAACGTTTTTGTTATGCTCACTTGTTAAGCAATAGAAGCAATACCAGTTCTGTTAAAAAATTTTGTTGCCACGTCTTTCCACCAAATAACAGAAAAGTATCGATAGTGGTATCGATAAAGACTCGGATCGATAAGGAGTATCGATAAAGGTATCGATATCAATAAATATTAACGATCCCCATCCCTAATGTTGACATCATTTTTTTCTCAGTATATATGCAGCAGAATTATGTGCTATATTATTAGCTTGAGAATGGGTAGAAGATACTAATATAAATAAAATATTTTGTAGTGATTATCTGCATTGAGTATTCAAAAGGGATGTACAAATAATCATCAAAATATATGAAGTTATGGCTGTTCATCATAGAATATGTGAACAAAAAAAAAACAACTTCAAACTTTTAATTTTGTAATGGTATTCATAAAAGCACTTTTGTTTGTAGAGGGTTAATCCTTTCTTTAATCACTAATCAATGTCAGAAATCAGGGTAAATATACCTGATATATTTTATTTAGAGGAAAATTTTGTTTATCTCATTTCTATTTATGTTCAAATGATTTAATTGAACTGGAACAGAAAATTTAATTTAATGTTTATCAATTACTTTTTTATGTAGTCCTTGGTTGAAGAATTTCTTAAATTTATAATTTTTTATTGTTATTTGGTAATTTCTGAAATTGATTTATTTAATATTTGTTTAATGTGTGTTAAATTTGTTAATTGTCTGAAATAAATTCATTCATTGATTCAATCCAGTTTTTTAGTTATACTTTACCTAAGTGTCCTTACAGATGGTTAAAAGTGTTTCTGCACAGTCCGAACCCAATCTCGCCTAGGTCAACAAAAGGGCTGGAACCGGCCCTGACCGTGGCCTAGTGGTTAGGGCATAGAGCTTGGAATCCAGAGGGTCTGAGTTCGAGCCCCACTCCCACAGAGTGCCACTCTGGGTCCCTGAACAAAGGCTCCCCGAGTGCTGCACAATGGCAGCCAACTGCTCCCCATCATGATAGGTTAAATGCAGAGAGTTCATTTTGTTGCTCTGTACTTGTGACAGTTTAAAGACAATAAAAAAGCATAAAACAAAAAGAACCTTCCGTGCCATGCATTATTTAAGACCATGATGTCTTACTGTATTACCAACAATAACCATGGAAATGGTGGTCCCAACTACTATCAGGTCAGCTCCTCCCTTATAGCTCTGGGCTGATTTCTCACCTTTTATTAGAATTATTGAGACCCCACCAGGGGAGATCTTGCATGGAGTCCCAGTCAGAGGGAGATTGACAGTCATGTTTAGCTTCTTCCATTTTCTAATGATTGCTCCAACAGCTGACCTCCCCCCCCCCCCCCCCCCCCCCCCCCACCCCCCCAAAAAAAAGAAAAAAAGCTGTTTTGTTATTTACCCATGGCCCTTTCCAGCCTTGTGGAGGTCTACAATTTTGTCTCTAGTGTCTTTGGACAGCTCTTTGGTATTGGCCATTTTAGTAGTTGGATTGTTACTTATTGTATGGGGTGGACAGGTGTCTTTATGCAGCTAATGACCTCAAACAGGTGCATCTAAATTAGGATAATAAATTGAGTGGAGGTGGACATTGTGAAGGCAGACTAACAGGACTTTGAGGGTCAGAATTCTAGCTGATAGACAGGTGTTCAAGTACTTAGATTTTTTCAGCTTATGTGTATCACAGTTGACATGTACGTACAATTACATTTTCAAAGCTATGGAAGTAAATATGTGCCATCAGAATTTGAATAAAAAATACCTCTGAAATTTGATTGTTGTATATCAGTGCTTACTTTTTCAGTATTAAAATAAATTCAGAATATATTTTTAACCTAAAAAAAATTCAATGTTATTATTTGTACATTAAAAAAAAATTCAGTGTAATTTTTTTAACATGGTTGCAATTTTCAGTTATTAAAAAAATTCACATTCCTATTTCAAAGTGATCAAATTTTCCATATACATATTTTTCACAGTTTAAATTTTCAGTGTTAAAAAATTCAGCATATAAAAAATTCAACTTTTCAAAATTCAAATGCAATATTTTCGTTGTCCTCCAATTCAACTTGCTCAAATTCATTGTCTCAAATTCAGCGTCTAAAAATTCGCTGTAAAAATGGCCAAGGTTACTTCAGGTCACAGACATTAGCAATGGATGTCCGATTCCAACATCCACCTAATCACGTGACACAACCGTCATATTGAAGAAGTACTAGTATCACCCAGGCTGGCGACCATGGAGGCGAACTCAAACCCAACGGTGAGTTTAATGCTTTCATATTTCTGTAGTATATTTTATTTTGCACATGAAGTTTGATACATTATCTTAAAGCCTGATTTAAAACACTGGTTTGGGCCGTTGTTAATCTTACACCGTGTAGTGCCGGCATATTGCCCCCTCCCCCCACCCAATTTCCCCCGTTTTATTTCAAAAAGAAATACCACTTTTCCAGGCAGTCTTAGTAAAGTCGTAATTTTTCAGGAGATGCTACCGCTAATGTAGTAAGCTAATATGGCTGTCTTGTGTGCTTCAAAGAGGGGCTGTGAACAGTTCCGACCCCACTCTGATCAGCTACTGTATTGTTAGCTCGGAGGTAGCGAGAAGTAATATGCCGGCACTACACGGTGTAAGATTAACAACGGCCCAAACCAGTGTTTTAAATCAGGCTTTAAGATAACGTATCAAACTTCATGCGCAAAATAAAATATACTACAGAAATATGAAGCATTAAACTCACCGTTGGGTTTGAGTTCGCCTCCATGGTCGCCAGCCTGGGTGATACTGGTACTTCTTCAATATGACGGTTGTGTCACGTGATTAGGTGGATGTTGGAATCGGACATCCATTGCTAATGTCTGTGACCTGAAGTAACCTTGGCCATTTTTACAGCGAATTTTTAGACGCTGAATTTGAGACAATGAATTTGAGCAAGTTGAATTGGAGGACAACGAAAATATTGCATTTGAATTTTGAAAAGTTGAATTTTTTATATGCTGAATTTTTTAACACTGAAAATTTAAACTGTGAAAAATATGTATATTGAAAATTTGATCACTTTGAAATAGGAATGTGAATTTTTTTAATAACTGAAAATTGCAACCATGTAAAAAAAATTACACTGAATTTTTTTTTTAATGTACAAATAATGACATTGAATTTTTTTTAGGTTAAAAATATATTCTGAATTTATTTTAATACTGAAAAAGTAAGCACTAATATACAACATTCAAATTTCAGAGGTATTTTTTATTCAAATTCTGATGGCACATATTTACTTCCATACAAAGCCCTCCATGATTTGTAAGTTGGAGAACTTGCAAAGTAGCAGGGTGTTGAAAAAATAGTATTTTCCTCAGTGTTTCTCAAATGTAAATTTCATACCTGTTGACTGCACTGTCAATGTCTTTTACCTTGTCCGCACTGATTTTGACACATGTTGCGCTGCTGGATGGCCGGGTGTTCAGGTTCTGGTCCAAAGGCGTCTCATTGGTCACATTTAAAGGCAGAACAAACCTCCGAGGAAAGGTTCTGTCAGTGGTTTTATACACCTGGGAATATTGCGAACATTTCTGTTTTAGAGAACCCCTGACATCAGCTACAGCTCATGTTTTTCATGTCTTTATAAGCAAAGCTAAATTTTTGTACAAACACAGCGCATAAAGCTGATTCTAATTATTCAAATTAATACGACAGGTTAGGTTGTTTTACTGACTTCATCCAGTGCCTCTCCTGATTTGCGTAAGTTCTGAATGAGGTAGTTGCTGATGGCTTGGCCGCCATCTGCGCAGCACATATCCACCATGAGGAAGCCGTCCTCCTCAAAGGCATTGATCTGATGGAAGGTGGAGATCGCTTTGGTGTGGTACCTAATGGGAGTGACCTAGACGACAATACACAAAATCAAAAAGGGACAAAAATGACAATAATGTTGATCTAAAATGGAAAAATCCAATATTAAAATTGTATCTAACCTCTCCTGTACGCTTGTCAATGAGATGGAAGACGGTGTCCTGTTTCGGGTCCCAGTATATTCCCTTATTCAAAGCCTTTCCCCTTATCTTGCATGTAACTATCTTCAGGAGGTCCATCTTAATTGGCTGCTCGATGAAAACGACGTAGTTCTCAGACATGGCTGGAAAGGAAAAAGATGAAGAGAGATGGTGTTAGAGCTGAGAGCCAAAAACGACAATTAGTTAAAAGGAAGAAGGCTGGATCACCGAAGCTGTGGTAGTAGGAGGGATGGGACTTGTTTTCTGGAACAATTGAACAGAGAACTTTGGCTCCTTGCAGGGTTTCATTGCTTTCTGTTTTCTTAGGGGGCACTTTGATGATGTTGTACAGAGCTCCTGAAACAGATGAGATAATTGCCGGCTTAGGGATGAGCATTATATATAAGATAAGAAAAGAAAAAGTAGAAAAAAAAAAGACAAAAACACTAATATGTGTTATTAAACTGACCTTTGCTTCCATAGGAGTTTCCCATATTGTAGGCTGTGCCATCTGGGTCGTAATGGGGATGAGCAGTGGCTCCATTCACTGCAATAAACTTGCTCCAGTCAACCTGGAAAATAGAAGGCATCTGTCTGTTTTTAACGTGTTGTACAAAAGTTTTAGCCTGGGTGCCATTCCTTACTAAGTCCTGCCCACAACGTTTGAGGTCGGGAAGTTCGGTCTGGCATTGCTTAATAGTAGCGCGAGTATGCTCGCACAATATCTGGTGGGCCAATCAAATTGTCAGGGCGGGCTTTATACGATGATGGACAGATGATCAACAGTAACGTAATCAACCACGTCACCAAAGCGCGCTTGGTTGACAACAACAATGGCTGCCGCTGGAGAGTTGAGGTGTGTAGATTCTGCTATTAGGTCTGTTTGATCATTTCATTTCATTTATTTATTTATTTCGAACACTTAATAAAAAGCAAATATAAGTAAATTAATGAAGTCATAACAAAACAAAACAAAAAAGAAAAAAAAAACATTAGGATTCTGCCAAAAGTACCCAAGCGTAATTCGTTATTTAAACTACTCTGTACAAACATTTTGAATATTTTTTGAGTGCAGATTTAATAGGCCCCCCAATATTTCACAACCATGAGTCTAAGCATCTTCTCCTGCTTTTTATGCCTGAGTAAATTATCTCCTACTCCTTTGTGGATTTTTTTACGTGTACTTATGTCAACTTTTGTCACTTTGAGAATGGAAACAACCAGAAAAGTAAACTGCCTGCTTTTGTCTATTTTTTAAGAAATTCCAGCCACTAGAAAGAGAACTGTTTCCCTTCTAGTTGTGGATAGTTTTAACAACATAATATTATCAATTTGTTTTTTTTACATTCCCTGTTCATAAATGTTTATAAAATCTTTACCAATTCTCTCTGATTTTGTAAATGTATTAAATGTTAATAAAGCCCCTGCAATTAAACCTTTCTCTTAATATAGATCATTGCGAAACCCCTACTAACTCTGCTATCTTTTTTTAATTTATATTCTTTGTTTACACAGTCTGGTGAAATACAAAGTTAGGGTGATATTATAATGTACAAAACCTTTTTTGTGTTCTGTTTTTGTTTTTGTATTTTGTTAGAGAGGTATAATGCTTGACCTGGATTTTTTTTTTTTTTTTTTACAAAAATTAATTTGTTTTCTGTATCTTTTGTCTGTGATTATTTTTTTTTATTCCATTTGTTGTTGTTTTTCTCTCCATAAAAAGAAAAAAGGTTCTTAAATTAGCTTGAATTTTTTTCCATTGTTGTTGAAATTACAAAACACATTTTGGAAATGAAAATTAAAAAAAACAATCCATTAATGAAGCTTTAAAGAACTTACTTAAAAAAATGTAGATTAAATTTGTTGCTTTCTCAGATTTACCTTTTCACTATGTTTTTTATAGATTATATATTTACAAACTTTATTTTTCAAGTTGATCTTTTTCAGATTGAGTTTCAGGAACTGCATTCTTTTCAAATTCAACCTGTCTTCACTTCATGGGTTGGGAGCAAAGATGGATTTCTATTTATCTGCAAGAAGGTCAGCAACATTTGTATTGGGCTTGAAGTGCAGTAAATGTGATCTTTAATACACATTTTGGAAAGAATGCAAAGAGAATGCAGGTAAAGCTGAAAAAAACAGAAAAAAAACGAAAATTGAAAATATAAATTCATAAAAATAATAATAAATTCTGATAAAATAAAATAAAAAATATAAAAAAAAAACTATTAAGAAAACAGCAAAGTAACTTATTTTTTATTTTTTACTAAGAGGTTTCTGAAAACTGGATTGATTGTTCTTAAATTTCCATTTTCTTCTGCTTGCAACAATAACTCCAATATATTTTTGATGATGATGATGATTGTACCTTTTCCACCATTTCCAGGGTTTCAGGGTTCACTCTGTGCATGAAATTGGTCTCTGTGCTGACATAGTAGTCACCCTTGTATTTTACAAAGCTCACGCTGGCATTGTCTGTGGGTTCTGTAACAGAAGCGAAAAAAAGGACATATGTTCTGCTTTTATGCTTATGAAACAGAGTTTTCAGCTTGAAGTTATTCTGTGGAGTTTGCGGGTTATATAAAGCGTTTTCCCCTCCCTAGCTCCCTGCTATATTTCATTATTATGTAACTGCAGCTTAGACAGAATTCCTTAAGAGGCTTCACTCCAACACAGCTGGAGAACAGAGGGGTTTGCACAAACAAGGATTGAAATGTATTTTGTTCCTACGCTTGATGCACATTCCTTAAGCTAAGCTGTCGACTGTCTTTATCTCATACTTCATCATTTTTAAAGAATAAACTCTGTCCTTTATTTAGAGCCTGAAAGAAGTTTAAAAAGTTAAGTGACAAACTAAAATCTAGCAGCATTCCTGGATTCTGACAAAGAAGAACACTGTGTTCCTTCTTCTTCACACTCTGTCAAACATTATTTAACAATCCATCCATTCTGCTGCTTACCCATCATCTCAAAGCGAGAGAGGAATCTCTGGAAGAAGTTTTTACAGGGATCAGGCATCGCCAGAGTACCGAACTCTGACATCATGATGCGATCCCTCTCACTGTTCTTCTTGTAGGCGTCGCTCTGTAGGAAGCGGCTCATGTACGTCACCTGGCCCTTCTGGATCTTAAACTGGTGGAGCATGGCCATCCCATCAAACCAATGGTTGTAGCTGATAGTGAAACACTAATGTCAGGATGAATGTTGAGAAGCGTGCACAGTTAACTGCTTTCTCTACTTACTGTGTGTTTCCAAATTCAAACTTCCCCGGTCCATTGCGAAGGAAGTTACCATTGATCCAGGATGGGATAGTGCCTTGGACCGTGGTGGTGATTGGTTCAGGGGTTTCCTCCGCTGTCTTGATAAGTGGAGCGATACACTCCAGTCCTGTTATTACTTTGGTCTTGGTATTGTCAGTACACTTGGCCTCATCTGGAAGAAATACAACAAGTACCTTCTTTATCTCTACAGATATAAAATAACTTGCTGCTAATTTGCTTGCTCAGATCAGATGGGTGTGCAAAGAATAACAACCTTTCACCAACTGACTTTTCTCTGCATTGACTAGCAACTACAATTAAGCTGTTGTGTTTGTCAAGACTTTTTTTAAAGATTCAGTTGGTACTTTTCTACATTTCTCAACTGAAATTGGATCTTTTCGTAGATTAGATTAAAAATTTTTATAATTCTTGAGCTATTAAACATTCTATTTTAAATGAATTCCTGACATCAGAGATTCTGGTAATAATGGTGTGTAGTGGCACAGTAATTAGTACCATTTGCCTTAAAGCAAAAGAAGTCCTGGGTTCGACTCCAGGCCTGATTTGTCCTTTCCCTGATTAACTAATACAGCTTCCTTCCAGGGGTGGAGCTAGATGGGGGCCAAGGGTGACCATGGCCACCCTTAATCATTGGCCACCCTCTTTTTTTTTCTTTTTTACAGGAGAGTAGAGAAAGCCATATGTCTCGTCAAGTCATCCAGGAGCCTTCTATGTATCACAGATAAAAAAAAACAACAACTAAATCTATGTAAAAGTATGCATTAGTATATGTATATATTACAATTATGCAGAATAGTTACTGACAAAAGTATATTGAACATTTTTTGCAGAACTGTAAGAAAGAAATGACCAGTTTGTTTTTTGAATAACTGTGGATCTTTAAGACCGTCCTACCTAATAATACCACAAGTACACTCAGATTTATATTTCCTTCTTGTGAGGGATTCCTCTTATTTTAATGAGCTTGAAAATCTTCTTTTTGTAACTCTGACATTTTTATAGTATACAGTGAGAACTGGAGCTAGCTGAACCCAAATCTAACTGGATGCATAAGCACCAGAAGGGCTCATGCACAGCAGGAGCAGACCAAGCATAAAGACCCTCAGAACTAGAAGCTGAAAGATCACCCACTATACTTTTAATTTGGAGATCATGGATGAGTAAATATATTTGTCTATTTATTAGCAACGGCTTTAGGAGAGGCTAGTTTGTCTTTATTTGGAAACTATAGACATTTTGATTTTTTATTTTCCTGTTGGTGCAAAGTAGATTGACCCCTAACTGATCCGCTATCATCCACTCCTCTCTGCACATTGGTTCCTGCCTGTCCACTCCTATAAAATAATTCTGACTTTTTCCACTCACATACCCGAAATATACATGTTAGACCAATTGGATGCTGTAAATTTACCACATTTAGACTGGGCTTATTTATGTGGTATAGAGGAATGTAGAGGAAGTCTTTTAACGACTTGTTTATGATTGTTAATAATCAAAGCAAAAAGCCCAACAACTTTTTAGATCAGTTTCAGACAGTTTTTACAACATTGCATGACAATTACAGAATAACACAGTGTCATTGTTTGTCTGCTTCACAGCATATCTTACTCCCCTGGTACCAGAGGAATGACTTCAATTATTGAAGACATCCAGCTGAAGAGTTTGAATGCTTCTTTACATTCCAAATGTCATTTGTTTCTGAATGCAAAACATAAAAATATGTTATTGAAATTGAGAAAATCCTAGAAGGTATCTTTATAACTAGAACTGAATGAATGAATCTTATATTTAGTGGTACTATAGTGATGAACGACTAAAATAACCATTTATAAAACTTAGGGACCTGCATAGCTGTGCCTCCCACAGCATTTATAACCATACAATCAAAATAAATACAACTCTTTCAAAATATAAAAGATTAAACAGGTTTCTTTGCAACAACAGTTACATAAAGATGTATGATTTATTTTGCAAAAATTACAATTATTTAATTATATTATTTTATTTTTTAAGTCCTCCAATGAAAAAAGAGAAAGAAAATGAATGAAGAAAAAAGTAAAAGTAAAAATAAAAAGACAATTCAACAGTATAAAACATTGATAATTCTAACTTATCTGATAAACTATAAATCTGTGTTCTGATTAGAAATGTGTCATGAAAACAATAAGCAGTATGATAAATGCCCACTCAATTTATGCAGTTTGCTTGCTCTTTTTTTTTAGATTTACCTTAAGTCAAAAAGAAGTTTGAGCGCAATGAGGACAGATATTTGTATCACTGGTAAATAAAATTTACAATTAAGATTTGTTTGATTTAACACTAAGTCAATTTAAAGGTCTAAAGATGGTATTCATCTTTTAGTCATGGAACTACACATAGAAAAGAAAAAACAATATGGGGGGAATTCGCTGTTTACTCAATGGTATCAGTTAAAGGAAATATTTTAAAATAAAATAGGAGTCTGACTTAATTTTTCCTGGAAAGACAGTAGCAAAAGTTTAAAAGAAAAATCAATACTTTTATTTATTCGATCAATGATGCCTTTTTGCACAATCCACTTCTTTAGAACAAACAGGACTTTATTTTTGATCGCCCACGATACGTGATAGGCATTCATCTAATGTAAAATGTTAAATGTTAAAACAAAGATCTGACATATTAAGATTGTACAACACTGATCAGTTTCCTGTTCCTTCTGTTCTTCCAAGCTTCCCTTGTTCCATCAGTTTTTTCATTTTTTTTTCCTTGACAAACCAACTTGTGAGGTTTCATACTGTACTAAAGGACGGCAGGATTATTTCAGCAAAAGAGCAATTCAAAATAACAGAGGTGAAAACTATAACAAGGCAAACTTGTTATTACTCAAAAATGAGATTAAATGTACAAAAAAGCAACAATTTATCATTAAAACACACGCTGACAACCAGTTTCTTAAGAAAACAATTGCTTAGCTGCTATTTTCTATGTAAATATTGAAGGCTAATTTGTTGTAAGAAAGCAGGAAAATCATATTTTTGTTTTAACAGGATCTTTTAAAAGAAAAGAGAAGAAATGTTTAACCCTAAACTCCCAATAATCAGTATGACACGTGTTAAATTAAAGAATGTTAATTCGGCTCGCTTTTTAAATAAAATATAAAAATGGAATTTAAAAAATGTGTTTCATAAACTGTTGTTTATTCACCTTCTTTGGTAAAATCATAACAGTGACATATAACAGATAGGCTCTGTGGCCACAGTTTGGATACCCCTGTTATGATGGTGGAGGAGATGGCTGCTAATGCTTTCAATAACCCTATTATTGCCTGAATCGAATCTTCTGATTTTAGAGGAAATCTGCGATTTAAAAGGACATGTGGAACAATAGTGGGCAGGAAAAGTTTAGATTGAAAGACTTCAATGTTATTGGAAAAACAGAGATGAGTCATGAAGAGGCCACAATATTTTCCATGTGAGATAACTTCTTAAGTTCAAAATCTGAACGCTGTTTAGCAGCATCAGATGATGTAGTTTATAGCCACAGTCTGGACAGCATTGGTATGTAAACAGTATGACACTTGTTGAATTAGGAATTTTTACATCCTGGTGTAAAATATAGTGGCCTAGGGGTGCAAATGCACAAAAATGAGACGTGCTAACTCAGAAATTAGACCAACACAGAGAAACACATTCAAAGGAAAACAATGGCTGAAGCTATTAAGAACAACTAATAGTCAAGAAAGCCTGCGAACTATCTATGATTGTGAAAGGACTCCAAACCACTAGGAGGAGATAATCCAATAAGCTGTCTGATCTAAGATATCAAGGAAATTTTACCTTGTTTTTTTTTTTTTTTTCTAAATCATCATTATGTTATGTTTTTGCATCAGATCTGTTTTTTTAGACATAATTAAATGGTGATGTCAATGTCCTGGTACCATATATGCTTATGAGTCTCTCCTCTTATTGGTCTGAAGCACTTCTGAAGAGCTGGTTTCCATCTCTTCTTAATTTGCAGTCTTGTCTGCTTTTTGCAGGGTTTTTTCTCCTTTCTTTGCATGTGGTTTGAATGTATTTTGTCTTTTCATGGCATTTCATATTTCCTGTAAATTCATCCATTTGCACTGTGTTTGTACTTCACGATGGAGTATTAGGGCCAGGTACGAGATTTTTTTTTTCTTTCGATTTTGAGATGTAATCGTAACATTATGAGATTAAAGTCATAAAATTACGAGAATAAAGTTGTAAAATTAAGAGAATAAAGTCGCAACCAGAATAGTCATAAAATTATGAGAATAAAGTGTAAATTTACAGTCATATGTTTTTTCACTGTTTTTATATATTTATTTTTTTTTAACTATTTTTCAAGGCCGCATTTTTAAAAAAGATAAAATTGTCTAGAGAGCTGTTCCAAACGAAATTTCCTTTTGTTTTATACTATGACAAATAAAATTTGGGTAAGTCTAATCTATCTAATAAAGTCGTAATATTATGAGAATAAAGCCATAAAGTATTGAGAATAAAGTTGTAACATTATGAGAGTAATCATAAAATTAAGGGAATAAAGTTGTTATATTAAGGGAATAAGGTCCTAAAATTACGAGAATAAAACTGTATTTTATGACAACTCCTATGAGAAGCACTGTCTTCCCTAAAATAAGGAATGTTGAGCATTATGTGAAGTTATACTTTGGCTCTGGTTTCACAAATAAGGAAATCTTTTAGCACACCAGCATCAAATTGGGCAGCAGGTCAAAGTGGCCTCAGGTTGCTGTTCGGTGGTGCTGGTCGGCCTTCATATGCTGATCGGAGCTCAAAGGTTTCTTTCTGAAACGGGTTGTGGTATGATGACTTCATTCACGTAATATTATGACTTTTTTCTTGTAATGTTACAACTTTACTCTTGTTATACATGTATTTAGGTTTATTCCCAAAATAAAAAATAAAAAAAATCTCTAGCCTGGCCCTAATACTCAGTTGGAGTACCTGTCTGCTACTGTACATGTTAGACATAGAACAGTATTTTAGCAATCTAATCTTTTATCTTTTTTTCTGCCAGCTGGTTGCCTTCAATGCACAGGGCAATCAAACCATAAACAGACTCTGCACATCTGTCTCCATTTAATGAGTTACAGTGTTTTTCTAATTAAAAACACCCTGGAGACCTGTTTAA